TCTTTTTTTGTAAACTTAGAAGATTCATGTATGTGTATATCAGACTGGTTGAAAGAAATATATTGGCGTGACCAACTGTCAGGATACCCCGATACTCATTCATTCATGTAGGTTCAACTATCTATCAAAAAAACGTGATCTTTTTATCACTTATACCACTTGTCTAATGCTATTGATCTGTAACTGTTTGAGATATAGATATTGGTAAAAATGAGGATTACTAAGGACATCCTTATGATTATATGGTAAACATGCTTCACATCATATTTGTTGATATATTGTCCTCGCTATAAACTCCATATACGATAATATTCTATCCATTCTGTCCTACCGTCGGGTTCTCATTGGATCATTCCTGTTCGAATCGTGATCTTTTCGCTTTCTCTCGTTCCACCATTTTCTTTAACATACTTTAACTCGATAACACACACAAACGTTTATCACCCTTGGATTATGTCTTCCTCACAAGTTAAATGGAATTGCTCTGAATGTGATTATGCTCCAAGTGATCGTCGTAAATATTGCACCGAATGTCACTCAATGTTAACGTGGGCATGTACTGGTTCATCAAGGTCCGGTCTGTATACGAATTATTATCGTCATCGTGACAATTGTAGCTTTTGTACACCAGAACTTGAAGAAGAAAAACAACACGAAATGGAAGAGAAACAACAACAACTTCGGGCTTTAGATGATAGTAAGTAACATCACTCTATTAGTTTACATATGCGTTTCTTAGTCAACTATTTTATGCTACCAAAGTAGTCTAATTAATAACTATTGTATTTTTTTGTATTGTAGAACAACGTCCTTGGTTCGAATGGAAACGTACCAATGCATCTTGCATTCAACATACCGGTTATGACGTCGAACAAGTACAAGAATTATACTCTATGTGTGAAGAACCATTGATAAATTATTGCTCTCATAAGAACTACCGACTTACGGACAGTGCTGCTACCTTTTATTTATCTCCTATGAATATGCTTGTCGTTACACTATGGCATTTGAAACATTATCATTCTGAACGTTATATTGCTTCGGAATTGAATATAAGTCAACAAGCAGTGAATTATTTATTGTCAACAGTTGTCGATATTTTACACTCGTGTGTGTATCCAGAATTAATTTCAATACCTGCTAATATATCTAGCAGTAGAACACCACACGGACCTCAACAATACCACAAGCTAATAGTCGACTCGACTTTTATTGCAATTCCGGAACCTTATGATTCACAACTACGTAAAGCATATTATCACGCAAAAAGTTCAACAAATTATGCATTGAAAGTACAAATAGCTTGCGACTTTCATCATCGAATAGTACATGTATCCGAATGTTATCGTGGAAGTGTACATGATATTACAGTTCTAAGAGAATCAGGACTATTAGAACATGTAAATGATGATGTGCAAATTATTGGTGACAAAGGATACATTGGTGAAGAATATGTGGTGACTCCAAGAAAGAAGCCTCGTGGACGTGAATTAACAGATGAAGATAAGGATTTCAATTATGACATTAACAACGCAAGAGCAGCTATTGAGAATATTAATCAACGTCTGAAAACGTATGCAATTCTTGGTGGTGTCTACAGAGGAGCTATTGACGATTTTCATAAGGCAACAAAAATCGTACAAGTCGTTTGTGCTCTATGTAATTTGAACTTAATAAAACATCCTATTCGTAGATGAATACAATCATAACTTGTATTTTCTGATTAATTACTTAATAATGAAACCTATCGCTTTTTCATGTTGTCAGAAATATCTAGTGGAGAATGGTGTACGTTAACAAATATGATGTGAAGCATGTTTACCATATAATCATAAGGATGTCCTTAGTAATTCTCATTTTTACCAATATCTATATATCAAACAGTTACAGATCAATAGCATTAGACAAGTGGTATAAGTGATAAAAAGATCACGTTTTTCTGATAGATAGTTGAACCTACATGAATGAATGAGTATCGGGGTATCCTGACAGTTGGTCACGCCCATATACACTTTATTGTGATTCTTCTAGCTGACGTTATGCTTTTCTTTTTTTATTAAGTTTTTCTTTTATAGAAAAAATTTAAGATTTTATTCTATTCTTCAAATAAAATAAAAATTATCCCAACATCGGGATCCTTTTGAGATTAAGTATTAATATATCTGTAAAACGAACCCAAATTTTGAAGTCCTTTCAATTAGGGGTAGACCATTTTATTTAATGGGACTTAATTAATGACATTAATTAATGACTTCACTTAATCATTAATATAAATGGTTAATTAAAAAACTAAACTTAATTTTAAATTAATGTAAATGGTCCACCCCTACTTTCAATGTCTTAATACGAT